CTACTACCTACTACTAACTACTACTAACTACTACTACTACCTACTACTACCTACTACTACCTACTACTACCTACTACTACCTACTACTACCTACTACCTACTACTACCTACTACCTACTACCTACAACCTACTACCTACTACTACTACTACTACCACCTACTACTACTACTACCACCACTACCACTACCACTACCACTACTACTACTACTACTATTACCACCACCACCACTACTACTACTACTACCACTACCACTACTACTACTACTACCACCACCACTGCTACAGCAACAACAACAACTACTACTACCACTACTACCACTACTACCACTACTACTACTACTACTACTACTACTACCCCTGCTGCTACTACTACTACTCCTACTGCAGCTACTACTACTACTACTCCTCCTGCTGCTACTACTACTACTGCTACTGCTACTGCTTCTGCTTTTGCTACTACTCCCACCAAACGGCGACACGTCAAAAACAATGCTGGCGCTGTGTGTAGCGATGCCACCATTGAAGGCGATACCCATGACCTTTCCACACAGAAGGAGTTTTGACCGTCGCACGTCTGCTTCCATGTCCAAAAAGTCTGCTGCATGGTGAAAACAACCTTTAACATAAGCAAGGTTCAAAACGTGGAAAACGATAATACACTCACCAAATTGAAATGTGCAAGGCCCACACAACAAATAAACAGCGTCGCTCATATGGCATTCTATGCGGTCTCATGGGGTTCTCATGGTGCTTATGCAGAAAGAATCGTCCCTAAGTCACCATCATATTCTACTGTTGCCGCGCTGCCATTCACGGCTCAAAGAGTGAGGGCAAATCGGATGATGCCCAGGGCCATGGGATGATGCTCAGGTGCGAGAAGTTATTACCTCTCCTGTTGGAAACCTCTCACAACCACAAGCTTCAGGTTTGGACACTCAATAGTACAAGGACCTTTTAGTGCACTTGAATGAGAAGATGTGAAGAGCCAGGCTATGGCAGAGCGTCCGGCAGTCCCACCAGTGGCTCTGGCACATTCAAGATGGCAATGTTTTGCGGTTGCAATTTTTTTGACCTTGTCTATACCTGTATATATATATAATTACCTATTTTACATTAACATATGTATATTATTCTTTTTCTGATCCAAGTCCTTGAACAGTTACGAAGGGTCCATGGGCTGCTAAAGGAATGCAGCAAGGGTGTACTTTGTGAACAAATTGACAATTTGATTGTAGCAGAGGGGAGAAAGAACGCGCTGCAGCTTTAACCATATACTTGTAATCTGCCAAAAGACCCAGGTGCTGCCCCGGCTCTCCAAAGATGTCTTCACAACTGCCCCACCGTGGCCACAAAGTGCTCGGGCGGGGAAGCCAAGAAGCAAACTTCAAAAACTGATTTCTAGGGTGCGCTAACTGGTAGGGCGCGGCAAGGCTGGCAGATGTGCACCAGGGCTAAATGGAGACAGATTCGTGTACCATCACCTCAGTTGCTCTTCACAGTATCAGGCCTTTTCCCATCGCACCTGGTGCTTGTAGTGACGACCCAGGGCTTCTTTCAAAGATGGTCCTCGAAGCTTCAAAAAGTAGTTAAAACGTGCATTACTAGATTATCACTCTGTCAGACTCTATCACTTTGTACTTCAAACGGTTTGTATCTTTTAATTGCTGTGGGTCAACCCTCAAGCAGACGTTCCGGACTCGCTCGAAGCTTTCGTCAAGGTGAAGGAGAGAGGGCCCCTACCGGGACTGGACAGTAGCCATGGCTCTGTTTGGGAGGCACCGCTGTGGGGTCCGTGAGTGGTTTCACTGGCATGATGTGCTATGGAGATTTCTTTTCAAAGAATTCACATGCCGGTGCACGGGCCCATTTCAAGCTGATTCAACTCCCAATCATAGAGTATTATATTGTATATATTAGATTATACTAAGATATATTTTATTATACTATATTTTGTTATATTGTATTGTTTTGTTCGATAACGTTTGAGTTTGTGTTTGGGAAGCTTCTGCTTTTGACTGCAAGAGGCAGTCTCTCAAGGTAGGCGGTGCAATACGCAATGGTTTTTGCAAAATCAAGCTTCTAGAACCAATCCCCGACTATTCATACGAGATCTGATATACTTCCGACATCTTCCGACTGATGAGCAAGTCTTGCTGACTTAGTGGAGTTGGCCTCTGGCGGACACTCTTTTAGATATGTCTAGAGCAGCTACTTTTGGTGAGTTGCAACACTTCAGAGCGAGTTGCAAAGATGGCTGGACAATCGCCGAGCTGGGCGCCACAACATGGATGGGCGGTGTTTGAGGCTGAAGAGGCCTGACCTTGATGAGCATGTCTCACGTTTCGTGAGTCTTTGATTTGCCAAGTGTTGATGTCGAAATCCGAACTCTTGGAATTGCATCTAGGCCCCATTGACAGCTATTCTGGTTCCTTGGCAGCTTCGGGCAGGAAGTTCTTGGCAAGGGTAGCTGCAGCTATCCAACCTGTATCAAGCCATCCAGATTGATTCCCAGATTGATGTCCTGAGGCCATTTTGCCGACGTGGGCTTCATTGGCACTGGCCTTCAGTGCATTTGTGACCGCCAGGCGCTCGTTCCTGCGATGCTGGAGACGCGACGTCTCGATCGTTGGGCTTCTGAGGCCTTTGCGATCGTCGCCTCGACGCAGGCGGAGTCGAAACGTCCGGCGTTTCGCCAAACGTGGCGTCTTTGATGTGTTTGCATATCAGGGGCATATCAGGGCCATGCATTGTTGTGTTTGCTCAGTGGGAATTCTCCTCACATCTCGCACTATCAAGTGTGCACTCCTGCTTGTGATATGGGCTGACAATCCTCATGGAGCTACGGCAAATCCATACACCAACCCGACCTAAACAGATGTTAAGGTCGTTTCAACCACAACAACCAAATCCTCATTTTGTGGGAAACAGAAACAATCGCCGAACTGCTCAACGGAGGCCTTGCTCTACTGGGAGACCATACATTGGCCATGGTCACGGATCAAGAGAAGCCCACGAGATGTTTCCTCGATGTGGGTGCCGTGGCATGACTGTCGACGTGATCGTTTGGTGTTCCGACATGTTCTGACTAACTCAGGCAGCTCTGCGCAGGCAGCAAGCGAAAAGGGGCAGACAAGGGACTTGAATGAGATTGTAATTTTTATCGACATAGAAAACCGAGGCTATATAAAGCTTATTGGTGTTGCAATGCACCATAGGACTGACATTTGAATAAGTAAGTAAGATGGGCAACATTCAAGTTGTTACGAGTTGATCGCAAATGATTCTGCAGCAATGCAAGCCGAGCACATCACAGCACCAATGTTGGACATACCCTGGTGGCTTTGCTTTCGCACATGTCTGAGGATCCAACCTCTTTAGCAGCGAGCAAACTGCAGCTGCCTGGCCGATCTTCAGTTTCAACGGCCCTGAGCGCCCTTTCACGACCCTTCGGTATAAGACGCTACTAGTTCAAAGGGCATCGCTACTAGTAGCAAGGACACCACGAGGGGCTCCTGGCCTTACCACTAGGAACAAGGAAGCTATTAGAAACAATAAATTTAAGTAGAATTTAATTTATCCTTTCATATCATTTCAACCTTTTGCTCAGGCGGCCGACGTCGGATTTGATACAATCACAGTGCAACACCGGGATATTGGTTGCCTCTAAGATATTTCCCATCATGCCCAGGTACGATAGTCTAGCCAGCCGCTTGGTTGAACTCTTATGAAACGAACATTATATAGATAACTCTTCATATTGTAGTTGTGCCTTTACCTCAAAGCCTGGGCTTTTGCAAGAGCAACCTTGCCTAGGCATGTTTCAAACACATTTTAGCAATGTGTGAACTTCAAATTGCGCGCATGTGCATGCACCATTTCTGAGGGCGAGAGGAGCTCTTGATGAAGAGGTTTCTGTCCATCAACAAGCATCGCCAGATGGATGACTCTTGACTTGAGCGGAAGGAGCAACCTTGGGTTCAAGAGGGTATGTGTGTGGGTTTCACTCCACACTTCTTCGTGACTTCGCATATGCGGAACATAATGAATCATATAAATTACATGTATACTTTACGTCCACATGCATGCTGTTGCATGATGTGCTAAGTTTCATTATGAACTCAGCTCAAGCTTCCTCATTTTCAAATTTTCAGAGCACGCATGGAAGCTAAGATTGCTAGCAACAAGACAAATATCTCTAGTCGCAGCTAAGGAAAATGCTCCCTGGCAAGAGCATGCGGAACAACTCCGAGATCTTCTGAAAGGCCTTGACCGACGTCATGTGCCAATGCATTATGTCGCATGGTCAAAGTTGGCCAGAATACTGTACCAGGACCGATCGAGACTCAGAAGCTGTGCAACAAAACGCGTACCTTTCCAGACATCGACAGTGCAGGTGGCTACTTGAGCTTAGACAGCATCACGAGCAGCGTGAAGCTCGGCTCTTCGGATGGTCACTACCTCCAGTGCCACTCCATTCAAACTGCGTGTTCCGCTGCGCCCCAGCCAGCTGAGGTGACGGCATGCTGGATTTTTTTCGCCAGCCATCGTGTTTTAGCGCACCAGGAGCGCCATATATACTACTGTATAACGGTGATGAAACGACAGACAAACTTGGAGCGCCTTGCATACTGTCGACGCATGCAGGAGTGTCTATCATGCTGCCTTGGCATTCGCATGACCGCCTGGAGCTTAGCATGGCAATCTTTGTCAACCTATCGGTTCTCCTCTCGGAGTCATTTGATGTTCATGCCAGCTCTGCTGTGAGAGCAGCCTCTTCGTGCCATTCCCCCCAGGTTCACTACAACCTCTTCTGCGGCACAGTCTTGGCACTTGGCAACGAAGAGCAGTGTCGCAGCCTGGCCAAGCGATTCAATCATGAAATCCCATCAAATCTCCACTTCTGGTTCTGACATGTTCTGACACCATATTGCAGTAACCGTGACTTGCCAGAAGTATCAAAAAGTACATTGCAGGTGTCAATAAACAACACGTCATTACTTTTTGCAGACATTTGTGTTGCAGACTGTGCCGTTCTACTTTGGCTTCGCATGGCGCCGAGGCTGGCTGGAAGAATCCCAAACGCGCGGGCAACTGGGATGCTTCATGCTCACAGAGGTGGGTGCAGGCGAGGCAAACAGCGATCAGACTGAGCTTCAACATCGACCACACGATCATACAAATGACAATACTGAGAATGTATAATGTAGATCAGAAATGATGAGGATGTAATTTAATACTTACCTACTCTAAGTACTGGTGTATGTTGCTCTTTTTGTCTTCTACACTTTGAACTTCAGTTGTCATCCCATGTCATCCCTCGCAAAAACCGCTTCAAAAGATGTCATCGTACTTTGGAGGAATCTGAATGAATACTCCTGATTGGGAACCGGAGAAGTCTGGATCCATTGACTCCAGGTGAGCATGGTCTAAACCTATCCTTTACATGTGTAAGTAAGGCCTGCTCATAAGAGCAGTGTGCGTAAGCAAAACTGTGAGTTGCGTAAGGTTATGGTGACACTTCAGTGTGCGTAAGCAGTGCGTAAGCAGTGCGTAAGCATATTATGTTGGATATTGTTGGATCTTTGATGATCTTTGCAGTAGATGTTTTTCGGTGCTGCTACCATGTGCTTTAGTCAGTGTCAACCTTCAGAACTAGACATTTGGCAGTAACCAGAGCTTGGAGTGAGTGACTTTGCAACTCTGTGGCCGTGAGAGGCTTTCCAGCGATTAGCAAATATATGTGGCATCATAGCTATGTCTTTTCCATCTCATTGCGTTGAATTTGTTTTTTTGGCCAGAAAGTACACGAACATGCTCGTAAGCACCTCGTAAGCCGCGCGTAAGCAGTGCGTAAACAAAACTTTTGCTCGTGCATCCTAGTCCACGATGCCGCCAGCATATGGCACAGAAGACACATAGAACCAGCAAGATGCCAGCTCCCAAGAGATCTCTCGAAGACAGGCTTTCAGCAAAGGCAAGGGCCTTAAGCAGACAAGCTGCCAAAAGGCGCAGGCAACTGGCAGCACCAAAAGCTGCAGAAGAAGAAACTTATTCATCAACTTACTTCATCAGTTCATTGTCTGAGTCTTCTCCTTGAGATTCCTTGCGGGAAAATTTTGTGCGTAAGCTGCGGCTGTGCGGACATGCAATTCAGGCATTATCTCCTGTTAAGCGTAAGGGAAGCGTAAGCTCCTATAGAGGAAATCTGGCGCGTAAGCGAAAACTGTGGTCGCGTAAGTACAGTGTAAGCAATAGCGTAAGCAGACCCTTACGAGCAGGTTTTTAATCAGACCTTTGGATCCTTTTGGTCCACGCTCAGGTGTCTTGAGTGGATTGGTGGTCGAGACAACCGCCACATGGACCTGGGACGCAGAAGGCCGATGGTATCTCTTGTAAAGATCGCATGCGGTAGTACCAGCAGGATTTAGTGTGTTTCAATCCCAAAGTTTTTATATAATTTTGGATTTGCATTTGGCGTTTTAGCGCTATGACAGCCATATAATTTTTCTTCAGTCATATTCAAAGAACACTTTACTCACTGTAACAGTCAGAATTGCAAGATCGAAGTTGATGTTCTACATGCCCAAGGCCCATCATCCAGAAATATTCAGAACATTTGGTTTTGTGATAAATTCGTCGCAGGGGGTGGCTTTGATTTGCACACACCATCTGCCTCAGCCGAGAAGACCTGGAGCGATTGCTGAACTTGAGCTTACAGATTTGTTTCTGGTACTACACCATTTGAGCATTGTTATATAAATAAGAATCAGGGTTT